AAAACACTTAGGGAACAACACAACAGGGCAACTCAGAAAACATGGCCTAAATAAGGAACAAAATACAAACATACAAGAAAACTAAGAACACTGGGCCAACATGGCCCAGGACCATGACAAATACGCTGACTGGTCACATTTTGCCTGCAGAACTGACTTAATTCTTGGTGGCATACATTCAAAAAGGCGCTGGAAACTTTAATCGGAGGTTTTGGTTCATATTCTGACCCTAACATGTGAGTGTCAGAGCAGAAATCAAGATGCCGAGCTGACAGTAGTGGCAAACAGTGTGGCCTTCTGCTGCCTTAGCCCATCTTCTTCAAGCATTCGGAGATGCTCTTCTGCACACCTTTTTTGTAATGTTAGCCTGAAGCAATCTGGCCATTGTCATTTGACCTCCAGCATTTACAAGGCATTTTTACCTAAATGACTTCTGCTCTCTTGATATTTTCTCCTTTTTGAACCAATCTCTGAAAACCTTAAAGATTGTTGTGTTTAAAAATTTCTAGTAGATCAACAGTTTGTGAAATACTTCCACAACCATGCCACATTCAAAGTCGCTTAAATCACTTGTCTTCCTGATTCTTAGTTTGAACTTTGTCTAAAAGCCTCAATGATTTGCTGCCAATGTGATTGACTGATTAGATATTTGAATTAGCAAGCAGTTGAACTGGTGCATCTAACGAAGTGGCCAGTGAATGTAGAGCAAGAAGATGAGGATAACCTTATGGGAAATCTGCAAACATACTGTATGCATGCTGTATTCCAGTCATTTACTCATCAAGCAGCTAGCTCCAGGAGTGCCATAAATCTGAAGTATAACTTACGAGCATCACACTAAAAAGCTGACAGGCCCATTCACTAAAAGCACAGAAATAAATTAGTAAAATTGATCTTACTACAAATCAAATGTGCTGACTGTCATATGGTATGGAATAAAGAATAACGCAAGACCGACGTAGCTACATTTTTTTGTTGAGAATTTTAGTCACGGCGTGGTGCGCCAGTGTGTTTTTTGAAACAGGACCCAAAAGCAGATGTGGATGAGGTGTTGCAGGTTTAAACAGAAAGCGATCCTTTATTTGGATGATTGCAGGGGTTAAACAAGGAACCCTAAGCAAACTAAAAAACACTAAGAAACAAATACTACGAAGTTCTATGACTATGGTGGGGATAACAGACGACCCGACAATGACATTCAGAAAACAGAGGACTTAAATACACACATGAGGTGATCAGGGGAAGTGGAGACACATGAGGAAACAGCTGACTAGGATAAACATAATGATGCACAGGCAAGAGTAAAACTAACCACATGAACACAGAACACAAGACCCTTTTCAAAATAAAACAGGAAACATGCAGACTTAGACACGACAACACAACTTAACAGGCCTAACACACATGACAGACTAGACAAGGAACCAAACATAACCACACAGACATGACGCATGAACCAGGGAAACTTAGTACAGGGGAGATGACATAACTAAGAAACAGGACTACACAGTAATCTAGAAATTAACTAGGTGAACTAAGCTAAGGCACAAATAAATACAAAAGATACATAAACTCAAACACTGGGTCGCTCGACCCAGGACCATGACAATTTTGTTAAAACATAAAAATACTGTAGACTTTTATGATGAATCTGGCTATTACTGATCTAAAGGAACTAAGGTTTTCATCCAAATGGCCTTCTCACATTCAAGTTAAAATAGTACTCATCCTCAAATCCATCATCTGATAAAATCAATAAAGCTCCATTAGTGTGGAGGAGGAAAATCACATAGCCAAAGGTTTACTTTATAAATCCTCTGTGACTGATAGGATAAAGGTTAACTTTACTGGTATTGCCTTCCTTCAGATAAATCCTTGTGCCGTCCTTTTAATGGCCGAGCTTTTTTTCTCATCTTAATATAGATTATTTATGTTTTGGGATGTTTTTTTTACCTGCAGAAAAGAACATCAATACAGGGCAGCATCTAATAACATTAGTTACATTTGTGTTTTACAAGTCAGAGGGGCTATTTGTTCTGTCAACAAAAGAACAGGTGATCAGCTTGAGTCAGTGCATTAGGTAGTTAACTAATCATACCACATTTATTTTTAAGTCACATTAAACACCTGTACGGACAAATAACATATAAAATTTTGCTTTACTGTTTTTTAAGAGTAAGTAAGTTCACATGGACAGAAGATAAATTAAAGGACAAGCCTGAACCCTTGACCACTACAACAACAGGATCTGGTGGCTCTGTTGGCATGGTTTGCTGCCATCAAGAGAAGAGTGAGTGTAAATTAACACTGCTGATTTGTTGAGGATGATTATGATATGACTCATGCGCTACGGCCTTCACAGTCACCAGATCTCACTCCAGTTGAACACTTATATGAGATTCTGGACTAACGTGTTAGACCGCACTTTCCACCAGCATCATGAAAACATGAATCACGGGAATATTTTTGGGAGAAACACATTTCCAAAAAGTTTGGACAGGGACATGTTTACCACTATGCAGCATCCCCCCTTTATTTTACAACAGTCTTTAAACATCTGGGAAAATCTGAGAGATCAGCTGCTGGACTGTTGGGAGAGCACCGTTGTCCCATTGTTGTCTGATATATGATTCTAAATGCTCAGCAGTCCTTCTTTGTCATATTTTTTTAATGTTTTGTTTCATGATATGTCAAATGTGTTCTACAGGCAGGCCAGCTCAGCACCCAAACTCTTCTAGCGTGAACTATTCAACCATCTATCACAAAATAGATGCAGTATGTGGTTTAGGTTTCATCACTGATGGTGTCTTTCCAAAAGTGCAAGCTGACAGTTCACCCTCCTACCATCATCCTTTTAAACGAGCTTTAGCCCGGGGAGATCCACACCACCGCTGGCTGAAAAGTGTCCCAGTCCATGATAGTAGGTCGTTTACAGGTTGCTGTAGACACTCACTGTTGCACTTCTCTCCTTACCTCCTCTGTATTTGTTGATTACAATTTGAACCAAAAAATTTAAGTTTGGATTCATCATCCCGTAATTTTCAGTCCATTTCTTGTGTATTTTGGCATACCTCATCCTTTTCTCCTTGTTTTTCCCTTTTTTAATATTTCTTAAGGAGAAATCAGCTGTAGAATTTTTATTAGGCCTGAAACTTCTTTTGTCTGCCACACAGTTTGCTTGACTTTTTTAAGGATCTCAAATTTTTGGGTAATAGCTTTTTGGGACTAGCCTTGTTGGCACAAAAATAAATAAATAAATTTTATGCAAGCTAAACAAGTGGTAGACATACCACTGGTTCGTCCCTTGAGTTAGGTGGCTTTTTTATGTTTTTATGCTTACCACTGACCTTATTAGGTCTAAAAAAGAAAGGAAAAGAAAACAAAATTCCTGTGACTATGATTAGGTAAAGGGATTGGACTAAAAATGAGTGAAAATGGAGCCAATGTCCAAAGAAAAACTTTGACCTTCAGAAGCCTGGAGTACTATTGCTCAAGGCCACTCTTTAAGAAATAATAAAAACAATAAGTCTGGCTCCTTGGAAACAGAATATATATATATCCTGGGCCCCCTTTCCCTGGCGGGTCGCGGAGTATGGGGGTGCCTACTGGGGTCAGCGGGGGAGCTGGCCCCAGGGAGGGGTCACTTGCCCCTCCCTTCCTTCCCTCCCCATCTCCAGCTGCCTCCCTCTTCCCGCTCCACCACAACCACCCACACATGCAGGGCCTTGGAGTAGGGGTATGTCACCAGGGTGCAGAGGAGGCTACCCCCCTCTGTCCCCTTCTGGCTGCCTCTGCCTCAATTTTATCCCACAACTTAGACATTCACATTACTCACACTCTCATTACACATACATATAGGATCTTGGGGGTGGGCACGATACACGGAGTCCAAAGTACCATCAGGGTGTACACCCCACCCCTGGCATCGTTGCCCACCTCTCAATTTTAAATACACGTAGACATTGAGGGCTAGCAGGAGGGACCATGCGCTTACCTGCTGCTCTCTGGCAGGTAGCTCCATGCCCTCCTG